AGATAGCAACTTTTTGCATTTTGCATTTTCTTTGATAGTTGTGTCAATATTTTCTAAGGTATCTTCTGCACCTGAGATTCTTTCTTCTATCTCTTGTATTCTGTTGGTGATGCTTGTGTCTATGACTCCTGATTTCTTTTTTAGGTTTTCTATCTCCAGGATAGTCTCCCTTTGTGATTTCTTTATTGTTTCCACTTCCATTTTTATGTCCTGGATGGTTTTGTTCAATTCCTTCATCTGTTTGTTTGTGTTTTCTTGTAATTCTTTAAAGGATTTTTGTGTTTCTTTAAGGACTTCATCCTGTTTTCCTGTGTTCTCCTCAAGTTTTTTGATAGTGTTATTTACTTACTTCTTGTAGTCCTCTAGCATCATCATTAGAAATGATTTTAGATCTGGTTCTTGTTTTCCTGGTGATATGGGGAGTTCAGGACTTTCTAATGTGGGAGAACTAGGTTCTGATAATGGCAAGTACCTTGGGTTGCTGGTGCTTGTGTTCTTGCGCTTGCCTTTCGTCATCTGGATCACCTTTGTGCTATCAGTGCTGTCTCTGACTGGGTCCTGTCTTTCCTATTATCTAGGTTGTGTCAGAACTGTTTGGGATGGGTTTTGCTGCTCGAGTTAGAGATGAGGCCCAAGATGTGCTCAGTGCTCAGGTGGAAACCGGAAGGGGCCGGGGCTCCGGGTCAGGAGCAGATTCCTGGATCCCAATGAGTCCCAGTGGGTCCCAGTGGGTCCCAGTTGCTCCCTGATTGGGGGCGAGCACTGCCACCTCCTAGCCTAAGAAACTGCTTGAGCTAGCTTGAGCCACGGAGAGCCCCGCTCCCTCTAGGTTCTGTGAGATTGGGTGCAGAGCTGACTCCCGGGATCTGCTCTGGCATAGACCGGAAGGAACCCACGCTCCGGGCCCTGGAGTGAACTCCTGGGTCTCAGTGGGTCCTAGCCACTCCCTGTTCGGGGGCAAGCACTGCCACCTCCTAGCCCAAGACCCTGCTTGGCACAGAGGTCCTGCGAGCCCCACTTCCTCTGGAGTCTGCGAGATTGGGTGCAGAGCTGCCTCCCGGGATCCGCGAGTGCTCGGGCCCAGACCGGATGGAGCCCGCTCCAGGCCAGGAGCGAATTCCTGGGTCCCAGTGGGTCCCTGTTGCTCCCTGTTTGGGGTGAGTGCTGCTTTTTCCTTACCTGGGATGCTGCGTGAGTTCAAGCTCCTGGGAGTCCCTGTTTTTCTTGGTTTTCTGCGGTTGGGTACGGAGCTGCTGCCTGCGACCTGCTCTAGGCTCGGTCCCAAACCGGAAGTCGCCTTATGAATATCTTAATAAAATTATATTAACACATTATATACTGTATATTATATATTATAATTATATATTAAGTTAAATTAATAAATTACATTAATCTGGTATCGTTCTCCTTACATGCTCATATGAAATCTAGAGTGATTTCATAGAACTCAGTGCAGCCTCTGGGGACTGGCCATGCTAAGGATTAAGAATATTTGGATTGATACAGGGAATGGTCATATCTGATGAATGTCAGTCTTTTATCCATCTGTTGGAAATAAATATTTAGGTTTGTTTTGATCCTCAGCCTTTCCAGAATAATGAATGTATTTATAGCCAACATCCTCTTAGAAACAGTAATCCATAAATGAAACTGGTTATTAAAACTTATAAATTATAATATGGCAAAGTTTCAATCTCTATAAGCTAAATTTCAAGGTTACCTTCCTATAAAATTACAGTTAAAAAATCTCTAAAATTATCTGACTTTACCATCTAAGTTCTCTTCCTGAAAAATTGGTTGTCTCTATTTATTACGATGACTAGAAAATCCCTTTGATATTTTTATATATGAGTTAAATATTTATTGTATGTATGTTTGATGTTGGAGGCGGGATTCAGGAATGGAAGTCAGATCTCTCCTATGGTTTGAATCCCTGTAACTGAACTAGTTGTGTTCATTTAACTCCCTAGGTATCTCAGTAGCTTTAATTTGTTTTTGTTTTGTTTTGATTTTTTGATTTCTAGCACAACACAGGTTCACAGGTGTTGATGAGGTGAAAATGACAGTGAAGACCATCTGAGCAAATGTTCAATATTCTGCATATATTTACTTATTCAAATAGAGGACCCTTTTGTTGAACATATAATCAAATTTCTTAAAGTACATAGACTTAAAAACATATATCTATAGTTCTTCCAGTGTATTAGCATCGTGAAATCAGTAGCTTCTACACTAAAAATAATTTGAAATAACTAGTAATAGCAACATCTTCATGATTTCAGTTTTTTACAGAATCATGACATAAGAAGTATGTATTCTCAGAAACAAATATCATTGATAGACATTTTTCTTAATGTGTAACTTGTAGGCTTATATTTTAAAATATTTATAATTTTACCAATTATTTTAATTTAGTATATGTGAGGTGAATGTGGAGGCTAGATTATAGTTTTTTGAGATTTGTTGTTTCCTTGAATCTTTACCTGTGTTCCAGGGTCAAATTCAGGTAACTGGATTTTAACCTCTGAGCCACTTTTTAGGCTCCTAATCTGTATTTTAAATATAAATTTAAAAAGCAAGATATTGTATACCATTGAAATACCTGGAATATGGCCAGGAGACATAGTTATGTATCTCCTTATACTACTCAAGGAAGAGAGGAAGTAACTAGCTTGGAAAAGAAGAAATAGAACAACCCTTTTGACTAACAGGTAAGAGATGTATTTCACTGAGGAGATATAACTTGAGGTGAATCCTTAAATTACAATTAAAGAAGCTAATACAAATGTAGGAAAAAAATATAAGCATCCCATAAGCCTCAAATCATATTTCAAACATATACTTTTATGCCTTTTCTTTCAAAATAACTCTGTTATCACTGGTGTCCCACAACAATCTTCTCATAACTGTCTGTATATTGACATGGTTAATTGTGCACATGGGGCACCAATGTGCAATGTCATAGCTTCATTTACAAGGTGCTCCTCACTTAAAATTACAGTAAAAAAAATGAGGAAATTTTGTCTGTCTAGCCTAAATATATAAAATATATGTGGCCAATTCCTGTTTGTTTCTAACTGTTCTTAATTGTATAAATATGTTCTACATATCGGGGTTATAGATTATTGGTTTATAAGTTATTGGATGTGGCTAAAAGTTTGTATCATTAGTAACAGAAAATTGGCTTAAAACTAATAACTCAAGGTTGCAGTCATTCTGGACAAAAACATATGGGATGATCCAACTGATGGAATCAGATCTCTAAAGATATCTCTAAACTGGGACAACATTTTACGTAATCCCTATTGTAAAAACAAAACTTATGAGTGATAGGACTTAAAATAATGTTCCTTTAATGAGGTATTAAAAGCTGCAGCATCATGCTAATGGTACATTGGCAGTTTTCCATTCAATTACAAGAGTCTTATATTTATTTCTTATTCTAAATAACAATTAAATTGGCTATTGCAGAATACTGATATTTGGCCTGTTGCATGTGCAAAGTTTTAAGTCAAAATTGGTTATCCAAAAGACAAGTTGAACTTGCCTCTATGCATGCATTAGTATTTCCTGCAAATTTACCCATGCAGTCCATAGAAAATGTACTTGCTGTATTTACAGATGACTCATTTAAGTGGAAGGTAGTATATATAACTGGATCACGGGTTTATTCTTTTGAGTTTATCCCCAACCACTTCAGCACAAATAATTAAATTATATGATGTAGCCCTTGATTTTGAAATGTTGAAAAATCAAGCTTTCAATTTTTATGCTGATAGCCAAAATATAGCTCATGGTTTCCAATTGCTTGAAACTGTTCCATTTTAAGATACAACTACTTCTTAAATTTTGCAATTATTTTTGCAAATTCAATTTAACTCAAATAGAATATACTGTTCCTTAATTAATAGGACATTTAAGAGTTCATATTGGATTGACAAGAACAATTAGTGAGGGCAATTCCACAGCATATTTGTATATCAAACAGATTATATGCCTTACACAGGAACAATTAGCCAAACAGTCTCATTCTTTATATCATAAAACAGCTTGAGACAACAATTTGTTATTGAAAGAAAACGTGCATGTCAAATTGTAGAGACTTGTCCTAAATGTCTTCAATTTCTTTCTGCACCACATAATGATGTTAATTCTCGAGGACTCATCCCTAATCAATTATAGCAAATGGATGTTACTTTGATATGAGAAAATTAAAATATGTACATGTGACAATTGACAACGTCTCTGGCTTTCTTGTTGCAACTGCATTACCAGAAGAAGCAACTAAAACTGTAATTATTCATTGTCTACATTGGTTTTTTGTGCTTGATGTTCCAAATCTAATTAAAACAGATAATGGAACTGGCTATTACAGTCATACATTTGAGACATTCTGTAGACAATTTAATATTACCCATATTATTGGGATTCCTTATAATCCTCAAAGAGAGGGTATTGTGGAATGAACCTAGGGAACTTTAAAACAATATCCTCATAAAACAACATGGCAATTATATCCTCATACATCATAAAACTATTTACACCATGTTCTTTTTATTTTTTGTTTTTTGTTTTTTTTTTTTTAATTTGGTTATCAAGTAACTCTATTCTGAGTGTCCATGACTAGGAATACTTATTCCTAGGTGAAATGAAAGAATCCATTTACTGGCATAAGCCATGGTTCAGATTGGGTATTGATATGGGGAAGAGAGCGCTTTTGTAGTTTTTTTTTTTTTTTTTTTCATCAGGATGCTGGAGCATGATGGCTGCCGGAGAAATTGGTGAGACATGCTGATGCTGGGACAAATAATGATGATCAACATGAGCTTGCTGAGGACACTCACAATGGTGACACTGATGCTGTATTGGGCATATGTTCCTGACCCACCATTGATTGCCAATATCCAAGACTGAGCAAGCTTCTTTAATTCCATCTTTTAGACCTTGAAGGACAGAGAACATGGAGACTGTGGAAAATGGTTTAGAAAAATTAATCAAAGGCTTTTGTCGCTATTGGGGACTACAATGGTCACGTTGGTCTTGGTGTCAAGTGCTCCAAGGAAGTTGCCACTGCCATCCGAGGGGCCATCATCTTGGCCAAGCTCTCCATTGTCCCTGTGCGGAGAGGCTACTGGGGGAACAAGATTGGCAAGCCCCACACTGTTCCGTGCAAGGTGACAGGCCGCTGTGGCTCTGTGCTGGTGCGTCTCATCCCTGCCCCCAGAGGCACTGGCATTGTCTCTGCTCCTGTGCCCAAGAAGCTCCTGATGATGGCCAGCATAGACGACTGCTATACTTCAGCCAGGGGCTGCACTGCCACCCTGGGCAACTTTGCCAAGGCCACCTTCGATGCCATCTCCAAGACCTACAGCTACCTGACCCCTGACCTCTGGAAAGAGACTGTGTTCACCAAGTCTCCTTATCAGGAATTCACTGACCATCTTGTGAAGACCCACACCAGAGTCTCTGTTCAGAGGACTCAGGCTCCAGCTGTGGCTACCACATAAGGGTTTTTATAAAAGAAAAATAAATGAATTATGAATTAAAAAAAAAGAAAAATTAATCAAATAGAGATATATTAATGACTCTTCTCTTTTCTTCAATGTGAACAGTTATTCGGACTCAACCATGGACTACTCTAGAAATCATTCCAATATTGAAAAAAAAAGGAAATTATAGTGGACATTGTGAGGGCTGGTTTGGGACATTTTCAGAGACATTTTTGAAAATTTTGAGCTGTCTTGAATGATTTTATGTTAGTAATAGACAAAACTAGGACAGGATTTGGATTTTGAACAAATGTTAGTACATTTGTTAAGATGCCAAATCTTTTTTTTAATTGGCCACATTAAAATTACTTTTGATTCTTCTACACTATTTAATGTAACCTGTACTGATTGTACATGTCTAACTGTGTTATTGTATCAAAATCTGGCATGTCTTTTATGGTGGTCTGTTATCCAGCTTTTGTTTTATTGCCTATGTGTATGACAGTACCTTGGTATTTAGTGAAAGAATTGGGATAGGCTTTTAGCAGAAACAAGACTGTAGTGAGCTTGAGTATTGCCGGTACAACAGCTTTGATTACATTAATAGCTAGCACCACTGCTTCTGGAAAAATTGCTTTGATACAAGACATTAAGAGAGCTACTTCTGTTAATCATTTAACAAAAAAATGTTACCAATGCTCTGAGTATTCAAGAATATTTAGATAGGACAATGAATTGACTCTTCTTATGATTCTATTCAAATTACTACAGAGGAGAGTAAAAATCTTTCTTGTGTGTCACACTAAAGACCAATGGTTTCACACCAATTTTAAAACATTTAACAAAAATCATTATAATTGTGAGTAAATTCAAAGACATCTTCAAGGTATTTGCCATAATTCTCACACCTCTCTGGATATTTAAGATTGCATAAAAAGATTATGAATTTAAAAAATGCTGCTCAGAATGTAGCAAATATTTCTGATAAAATTATTTACAGCTTAAGTTCAGTATTTCCATCTTGGTCAAGCTTCAAGAATAGCATAAATAATTTGATCATGTGTGATCTTCCTATCCTGGGAATACTTTTATTTCTGCCCATTTTGATAAAACTTACCTTTTACAACATCAACATGTTGGCAGCCAAAATTCATGGCTTGAAAATAAAAATGAATCCACACCCAGAGTCATTAATTTAGCCATCTAGAAGTCAATGACAGGTAAGTTTCTTCACAGAGCCTTGCCAACCTAAGAAAGAAATGCATTGCTTTTGATAATGTATATTTCATGTTTTTTAGGAAAGGTATTCTTTTCAGAGTAAGTTAAGACAGATTTAGTCTTGTTTATGAAATTAAAAAAAGGAATGATGTGGAGAGCTTTTGGTGCAGTAATTTCACATTCCTCAGAAAAGGATGTAGGCTCAAGATGAATACAGCTGAGAAATGTGTTCTTTGCATCTTGACGGTTCATATTCAGATCCTGACTACAATATTCATGGGACCTTTGTTTATGCTCTGTTTGCTCCTTGACTACTTTTTTTTATGCCAAGAACTGACCATATTCTTTGTCAGTACTTAGAATGATATAAAAGCAGACTAGAAAAAATAAATCCTCTTAAGCTTCAGTACTTGTTGAAATCATGTTATAATGACTAACTGTCTTTTTTTATTTAATCTTCACTCCCTCTCTAAGACCCTGTTGATTGACTGAGCTAGCTTGGCCATTTGTGCTTATGAAGAAATTGAGAACTTTAGGATACGGTAGACATATCTTTTATTGCTCCATATTTCTTCCTGCACTTGCCCCCTATTATTGTATATAATATTTGAATACATTATTTGAAGAAAATGGCACTTTTCACAACACTCCAGGATATTTTTTAATATACTACATATAGATATATACATGATTGTATCTAACATTATCAAATACTGACTGAAAATTTCCTCTCCATTTTATCCTGCCTCTGGTCTTGCTATCATGAATTATTGTATTTAAAGAAACTGAATAGTGTATGTTTTTATAAAGCACACTCTTCATTAAGTCTTCTGACCTTAGCATACCCTATATTTTACTAGAAGCATCACAAATTATTTTTGATTCACCATCATGGACTATCCTTTATTCTTGGATAACAGCTGCTCAATGCTAAGGTTCAGTTAAAAATTAAGCTTAGAATCATATTTACTCAAAATATTATTCACAGTCAGAGGTAAATGAATTTCCTTAAGAGACTGTATGTATGTTTGAGTGTTTGGACCTCTTGAGATTGGAAGTTGATATCAATTGTCTTCCTCAATTGCTTCTTCACATTATGATTATTATTTAACTTTTGATGTGATGGCTTTCATTAAACCTGGAGCTCACTTGTGTTCTAGAGTAGTTGGGTGGTGATGACTAGAAATTCACTTGAATTTATCTTAAGTTCTGGACTCACATACATATCACAACATTTTTTGATTATCAAATGAGGCACATGGGTACATCGGAATATGGGGCCTTGGGCCCATGGGCGATCTAAACACATTCCTGAACAGCAGACTGTTTACACACTGAACATATTCCCCAGGTCCCTTCATTTATGTTCTGCTTAAACTAAACTGTTAACTTGACACAGCTAGAGCTATTTCACAGAAGAAGACTCAAGAAATTGTTTAATAAAACAAATATCTGTGAATAAAGCAGAATAACCTTAGGAGACATTTTATGAGTTTTTTCAATAGTATATGGTTTTGGTCTATGATCTAGAACTATCTGGTCATGGGTTCTTAGTTATACAACCAATGTCAGATATGGGTTCAATCTCATGGAGTAGGTCTTTCATTAAGTATGAAATTGACTGGATACTCTATAACCATTGTGCCATAGCATATTTTGAAGATAGGACAGATTGTAGATAAAAGGTTTTGTGTTTGGGTTGGTGTGGTGGTTTCAGTATGACTGGCCTCCATAGACTCATGTGTTTGAATGTTCGGCTCATTAAGAGTGGAATAATTATGAGGTGTGTGGACATGTTGGGTGAAATATGTCACTGTGGGGGCAGAATTTGATGTCTCATATGTTCAAGCTATCCTCAGTGTTGAACACAGTCTTCTTCAAGATGTATGCATCTCAGTTCTTTCTCCAGCACTAAGTCTGCCTTAATACTATCCTGTTTTCTTCCATGCTGATAACTGACTGAACCTCTGAACTCTGAAAATGTAAGCCAGCCTCAATTAAATATTTTCTGTTACAAGAATTTTTATGGTAATGGTATCTCTTCACAGCATTAGAAACCCTATCAAAGACAGTTCTATATTCTCTCTTTTGTCATCAGAGAGGCCTCCTCCTGCAATAGGTATAAACAAATACAGAGATACACAGCCAGACATTATACACACAATCATACAACCTCCCGCCAGCAGGAAAGACGCGGCACACTCAGGATCCTTCTGCAGTATAAGCTTTAATGCATCTTGAGAGGGAGAGCATAAGCTTCACAAACGAGGAGGGACCCCAAGGGCCTAAAACCCTTCCCTTATATAGAGAGCTAAGCTCGCCTGGGACGTGGCAGTCTCTGATGGGCTCCTGTTGCCTCAGGCCACATGACGTGTTCCAACTGTCAGATTAATCAAGGCGGGAAAACCTTCCAGCGCATGCGCACAGACTTGTTAATGGCAATGATGTGATAAGGATAGCTTCCCACATCTGCCCCCTTTTTATTTAAAAGTGATCCTAAGAAGAGGCCATAGAAAAGTGAAAGAGTTCAGGCCGGGCAGACACAAACCAATCAAAAGGAGAGAGGTCTAGATTTTCTCCTCCTCAATAAGTGAGGCAGGCCCGTGTCTCTACACTCACTTCGGGGTGCAATGGGAACTCGAGCCCTCCCGAGCTTAACGAGTGTGAGAACAACCATATCACAGTCCTCAAGGTGCAATGGGAACCCGAGCCCTTCTTGAGTCTGGATTTGGTTCCTGGGACAGATAGAGAGAAAGAATTAGGGAAGCCAAAATGCCCAACTCTTGTGCAATGGAGAAAAACTCCCAGAGGTGCCAGGGCCATTTGGCAGGGGGAGGAGATGGTATTACAGATTATGGCCTTGTCTTAACAGGTCTTTGGGGCAGTTGTTAATCATGGCTATCCAGTCCCTTAGTCCAGTGCTACAAGTGCCTGGGCAATCACCACCTTATCCTGTTGTCACTGTGACCTGAGCTTGCAAAGGAGCCACAACACGAGCGCCAGCCCACAACAGAGCAAGGCTCCGAAAAGACCCACCCCCAACCATTCTTTAAAATAAGAAAATATTGAAGAGATCCATGTAGACAGTCCTTCGGTCAGGGACAAATCAAGTCTGGTAGAATTCACTTCTATAATCGCAAAGCGTAACTTCCGAAGCGTCTCTTCAAACTCTACAGTCCAATTCTGTAATAAAAACTGAGATAAAGTTTTAGAAAAATTTGCTGCTCTAGTATAATTTTCGTATTGAATAGAGGTAACACAAAGTCCCGCCATTTTTTGTTCGCAGCCCAATTGGGCTAATTGCCACAACATGTCAATCTGTTCCTGAACGAGGTCAATGCGTTGATTCACTAGCATTAATCTTCCCAGGATTTGTGAGTTGGCAGAGACCTGTTCATCTAGTGCTGACGTGACCGAGGCAGACAGATGATTAATAGTGTCTACTGTCTGTACTGAAGAGGAAAGGGCCAAAGCAGAGGTGGTAACTGCGCCAGCCACAGCTGTTGTGGCAATGATGGCAACTATAATGGCAGAGATACCAAAATCTCTCTTCACTCTAAAAGTGCTTGAACTATTAGGTGCCTCAACCGGCACAGATACAAATCTAGGTAGCCAAATTACCAAAGCAAAAGGAAAGGCAGTAGCATTCCAACAAAGTCTATAAAAACAAATTTTAGGAATACATCGTAGGGTATCTTTCCAAATAGTACTATTATTACTAACAAGCCAGATAAAAGGGGGCCAAACACATACTGGTGTGGGTTTAAAGGCCAACTCCCTAAAAGGAGAATAAGAAATGACTGAGGTCATCCAGGAAACACTTCTTGA